ACTGATATCTACTGCTAGCTAGTTTATTGTGATGGTGCTGTTTTTTTTATTATGTTGCTCTTTGTTGTTTGCTTTCTCTTCTGTTTTTTTTCTCCATACAGGTGACCCAGGTGTTTTGGGTTTTTTTTGTTGTTTGTTTTTTCTTTCTTCCCCCCCATCTCACCGTCTCTTCTCCCCTTTTTCTTTCTCTCCCTCTCTTTCTTTCATTCTTTCTCCCTGTCCTATCCCCCAGTCATGTCTGTCCCGTTTGTAGCAACTGAAAACAAAATAAATTCATAATTATAATAAAGGTCAATCAAATGGACCAATATGGCAAGGCCATGATGATCCACTTGGTAAAATAAATCCGCTTGGCATCTTTGTTTGCCTTGAGACAACAATTCTGATGGCTAAAGATCCAAACGGGACACAAAAATAAATAAATAAATAAATAAATAAATAAATAAATAAATAAAGCATTAACAGTATTGAGATCCTAATCTTCATTATTATACACAATTTGAGTTAATCTGGTTCAGCTTTGCTCCACTGGTCAATGTAGAGTCTGCACACCAGGCACTCTTTAATGTCTTTTGCCACTTCTTTCTTGGTTACCATGGTGACACCTCTCTACTTCTATATAAATACACGTATTTCGTGCTGAAAGCTGCATATTTGTGCTCAGCGTCAGGAAACATCTAAAACAAAGTCACGCCCTGGTCGCTCCTCCTGATGATGAAATCAGTTTTTGCTGAATTATGCCAGAAGTCTCAAACCCAACACCGTGCCTCAGAATACCATATTTTACTTTTCTGGCTGCAAAGAGGCTTTTTTTTTTTTTAAATTAAACTAGTTTTTAAAAATCTGTTATCTCTGAATAAAAAGGGAGGATTTTGTGTTTTAAGGTGACTCATGTTTTAAAACTGACTCAGATCCTCTGGAAGAGTCGACTCAGCAGACTCAGACGGGAAGGCTGCTGCTGGCTGACTGAATGAATGAAAACAAGTGAAATGCTCCTTTAAACTGTCACTGCAGGTTTTCTTCTTATGTCTCTATTTTGCCCTCTCTCTTCCTTCCTGCTGCCTTTCATCCAGAGATGAATCAGACCCGGGGGGACGATTCAGTGCTCAAAATGCATCTGGAGGAGAGAGGAAGATGCTGAAATGTCTTCTCAGACGTGACACATAAATGAGGCGTGAAACACGGCGAGTATAGAAGCTATGGTGGGAAATAGAGATGCTCTTATTGTATGTTGAAAGGATTTAGATAAAGCTTTCAATGATGGATAAACAGAGAAATGAGAGTTTCAGAAGCTGTCGCTGTGTTTTTGTAGAAACCCAAAGCACATGACAGCCTGTTTACCTCATTGTGTGTTTCTCACTTTCTAGGTCTGGGTGTCAAAGCACAGCAAGCTAGAAACATTTTTACATAAGACACAGGAGGCGACAGCACTGATATGCTTTGATGTTATATAAGGTGTTTCTTTAGTAAAGCTGTACCTGTGTTTGCATCTTTCCTCTCATTGCACTCTCCACGTTGCAAAGCCGGGACTCAGTTCTCCCTCAGTAACCTCAAGCTCATTCTCAGAAATCCCCTGCAGCTTTACCTTTGTAATAATCACATGTGTGCCAACAGTCAACACATGTGTTTGCTTATGTTTTGTGGAAATCTATACAGAGGAAATGGCTCCTTTTAAAGCCACCAGATTTGACTCGCGAAAACAATCATTTTGCTGTGCACAGAATGGGATTCACTCTGAGTGAGCTGAGCATGTTATTTCAGATCCAGGCTAACCCAGCAAAATACCAAAGGCACACACAAACTGCAGTTCCTCTAGTGGCCACTGGAGGCTCAACCCAACAGTGAGTCAATCTCCATGGAAATGTCGAAATTTACAGCAGAAGTTTACAACCTGAGCAAACACAGTTTTGGCCTCTCTGGATAGTTTGTTTCATAGCAACTGTACTGTGGGTCAATTCTTTCATAACTCATCCAACTGGATGCCAGTAAGACAAACCAACCAGTAAACCAACAGTTTTTAAACACTACTTCTGATTATTTTCACTTCATTTTTCTTACAGATGTTTTTAATAAGAGTTGCTGATACAAAAATACCAAAGTATACTTCACATAACACGATTCAGTCTAAAAATAAAGCCTGTTTGTTTGTTCACATGTTTATTTCTTACTTCCTGTTTGGGGCTCCCGTCCATTGGCTGTCCAGGGGTGGAACCCAGCTGGGGGGAGTGGCTTGCCACTGCAGCCTGCTGCTGATTGGCTGTCTTGGTGGTGGACAGGTACTGACGGACCTGCTGCCTCTGAGCCTGCTGGATGTGATACCTGGTGGGATTCTCCAGGTGAGTCTGCACCTGAGGGCCAAGAGTGAAGATTAAAAAGACTTAAAATGTTGCAAACGATAACTGTATACATATAAAGCTAGCAGGTCGTGTCCATACATAGCATTTTAGCACATTGTTGAGATTTAGCCAATAGATTTTAGGGAAAGGACTTCAAATTGCATCTGCTAATCAGTTTTCACAAAAGCAAATAAGATTTATAAGCTAATAAATCATCAGACAATAACAAACGGCTATCTGAAGGGTGTGCTATGACGCGCTGATTAAAGGGTTAGCCAGGTGTGTTTAGCTTTAAATACTTTTTATATTTGTTTGCATATTTAAACAATAAATGTAGTCAAAGTCGATATTTAATTTTTTTGTGCAGTACGTTCACTGGCGTCCATTTTCTGACACCTCTCGTTTCAATTTACTCCACGCACCTTTAGCACCTCCACAGGGACCTGAGCAGGAGGTATGCAGGAGGAGGGCACCGAGACGCAGATGGGCGAGGAGGAGTCGGAGAAGCGAAGAAGCTGCTGTTGCTTCTTCTGCGTCTCTTTATGCTCCTCCTCCAGAGCCTGCTGACGCATCAGATCCTGACGCATCAAAACCCTGCAGGAGGAGTAAGGAGGTGGACATTATCGACAGTGCTTGTGAGAGCGCCCTCTGGAGGACAGAGAGATGAGCGAAGACAGGAACGAAAGAAGAAGTGGGGGAGTTGTATACCTCGATGACATCACTGACGGCAGTGAAGAAGATGAAGAGGAGGGAGCTGCTGCTGATGAACTGAAGACAGAAATGACAGCACACTTTAGTTATCATAATCAACAGGTGGTGTAGGTGGTGTTGGAGGAGTCACCTGTAGAATCCATACTTTGAGGTCAGAGCTGTGTTACCTGATGCTGATTGGCTGACTCTTGATTTCATAGAAGGTGTCGCAGTCAGATGGCAGCAGACCGTCGACCTCGATGTCAGCAACGATCCCAGACTCCACTCTGAGGGGCAGAGACAGAAATCAACCAATCAGCAGCCTGAGAGACAGACACGATTATCCAATCAGCATTTAAACCAGCATTTTTCAATGTACAGGAAAGAGAGACAATACATTTGATGCAAGAGCCATCGTCATTTCCACCTTGTTACAATGATTACATTTAAATTGTGTGTGCGCTCCTGCTTATCTGATGTTTACCTCCAAGTTTAACAGCTCTTCATATGTTCAGTTTGGAAATAAACGAAAAAAACCCTGAGACATGATAGTAAAAAGTCCAGCCTTTCACCACAGTTATGAATACACTGCAGCGTTTGTTTGAGACTCACTTCTTAGAGTGATAGAAATATTTTTATACAGAGAAGAAGAATGTGGAGGAACAACATCTGTCAGCTGTTAGGCTTTACCACTTCCTGTGTTTGGGTGCATGAGCATGAGTGGTTGTAAGGCTGCTTCATGGGGACCCAAATCAGACTGAAGACTTGTGAGGACATGTCTGCTCTGTGGATAAGCTTTATCAAGTTGGGACAAACTTTGACGTCTCACAAACCTTTAAAGCAAGACATTTTCAAATGGAGACAAGTTTTGCAAAGTAGGGACATTTGGCCAGAATGGGGACGTTTTCATGAAAGTGTGAACAGCTGTGAGACATTCAGACAACTCTGGAAAATGGTGATTTTTAGTTGCAAAAATGGGGACATTTACACAAAGTGGGGACATTTTACGGAATGGGGATGTTTGCATGAAAATGCGAATCACTGTGAGACATTCAGACAACTCTGGAAAATGTTAACTTTTTGCCGCATATTTTTGAAACATGTATTTATTAATGTAAAGTGGGGACATTTGTGAATTTGGAAAGATAGAAAATTTTTAAATAACAGGATTTTAAGGGCTTGAAGGCTTCTTCGATAATGGAATGTATGGAAAACCTTTCAGTGTACATTTTGCAAACATATTAGATTCTGACATGGTGGGGACATTACAACAGGTCCTCACTGTCTGCAACACATGATGTGACTGATGGTCCTCACAAAGACAGAGGGACAAACGAGTGTTTAGAGAATTTCTTCTGCTGAGTCACTTCCTGCTGTTCCATGCTCATACACAACCCCACCCCCACCATAGACACATACCAAGACCCTCACCCTTCTCCACTCTCCTCCCCTCAGACAGTTGGGAAACACTCCTGCTTGTTGTTACTTTTGCTTTCTCTCTCACCGCCAACATCATTTCTGTGTGTGTGTGTGTGTGTGTGTGTGTGCGCGTGTGTGTGTATTGTGAGCTTAAGTGCTGCTTCTGTGGTAAGGGCAAGCCAAGACTGAACATGTCATGGCGCTTAAACCTTTTCCAACTATCATCAACACAAATCAAGAGAACACAACAAACTCCATCCATGACTTCAGCCATTTAAAGTTTTTCTGCACCTCAGAAAACCAATCGGAAGACAACCTTTGAATTTTTAGTGATGGCATATGACATATGTATTTAAAAATAAATATAGATTATACACAAAGGTGAATTTTCTTTTGTGTGTGTGGATATTTTATATAAGTTGGGGAGGACTAGGCTGGCCCTATCTGTGTCTCCTGGGAAAATAACAGGAGCTGCAGCAGCTCCATAGATGACTCAATAGATCAGCAAGCAAAGAGGGTCAGAGGTCGAAGGTCAGGCAGTGCAAACAACAACTTGATGATCATCATTATCCCATCACACACACTCAGCACTTTACACGTTCAGAGCTGAGGTACTCGGAGAGCACTTCACACCAAACTTCATTCATAAACTGTTCAATTTAGACTTTACCTGGCTACAAAATAATAGTGAAACGCGTTTTAAACTCTTCCAATTTTACAGTTACACCGAAATATTTCATAGGAGGCTCTAACAGCACCAGTCTGTAATAAACGTTAAACAGTAACTTGTTTACAGCACAGGTCATGAGTGTAAGGGGGGAAACTGCACGCCTGAACTCTCCCTGCAGTCTCTTTCACGGACATTATTCTTTTATTATGAGTTAATACCATAGATTTTAACCCAGGAGCTTCTCCCCGCGGCACGAGTAACGGTGTAAAAAACAAAAACAAAAAAAACTTCCTGACTCACCGGACCACGTTGAGAGTTTCCGCCGGGTCCAGGATGACAAACACGGTCTGCGGCTGCAAGACGCCGGCCTCCGGCTGCTCCGGCTCGGCTCCGCTGCAGCTCCCCTGCTCGCTCCGGACCTGCTCCGGGATAACGGCTGACATCTCTGCGGACTCCGAAGAAGAAAAGGAGAAGCTCTTTATCTCCCAGCAGCCACTGCGAGATCAAAGTCTCAGAGGGGCAGCTGAGGAACCTCGATCCGGTCCAGACCCTTTGACTCCACACGGAGGAGAAGACGAGGATGATGAAAACGAGGACGACTCAGGTTCAAGTTCTCAGTAAAGATGAAGAGACAGACTGAATCACAGACAGCTGTCAGCCCAGAAAAACACCACATAGAACAGACCCACACTTCCGAGTAAATAAAACTCCGCAAAACAGTCGAGTAGGTGCATTCATTAAACAGAACCTGCAATATGCAATCTGTGTGTCTATGCCTGTCAGCGGATTGAAGATATTTATCTCCTATAGATCATCTATTACTCCAGTAATTCGTCCATAAAAGTCAGTTTATGCCAAAACATTTTCCCCGAAACGTATGAATATTTTGGGTGATTTTAAACCCGGTGAAACAAACATATTTGCACATATTTTCTAGTCTGGTGCCCCATTTTTATACTGGATATTTTTTCTTATAATATTTATTTTGTGATATTTATTTGTTTAAACAAAATTTAAATTTAACGAAATTAGATTACTGATGAAATTATTTTAGTTTAATTTGTCAATTAATTAGTTAAAACCTAATTATTTGTAATATCAAATATAAAAGGTTCAGGTCCTTCTCCACAAAATTAAATTAATATGCAAATTAACAGGAAAAAAAATAGTTATTAAAAATAATAAACAAACCAACAAAAACTATTTTAAATTTTGCAGTAAAAATAGTATTGATTAAAAAAAATTACTAAACAATAAACAATCTGATAAAGTGTCTGTGAAGGTTCTCAGTCATCCAGGTCGTCGTAGTCAAAGGAGCTTGCAAAGAAAAGCGTCTGGACTTCTTTAAGTTGCTTGAAGACGTTTCACCTCTCATCCGAGAAGCTTCTTCAGTTCTA